ATATATATATATATATATATATATATATATATATATATATATATATATATATATATATATATATATATATATATATATATATATATATATATATATATTATTCTTATTCTTAATATTATTATTATTATTATTATTATTAACTAAATAGTAAATAGTCTATAATAACAAATATTTCTAGTATTTAAATAAAAACAAATTTATATTACTTAAATAATTCATAATAATATAATATATTATAATAATAATAGAAAAATTAAAAAATATATATAACTAGAGTTCATTATTTATTTTAATTTTTTTTATTTTCTTATAAATAATTTTTAATAAAAAATCAAATGATTTTAATAAAAAAATTAAATAATAAAAAAATTAAAAAAAATTAAATGAGCTCGAGCTCGAGCCAAAAAAAATTGGCTCGATGAGCTCGAGCTCGGCAACATGGACTCGAGCTCGAGCTCGAGCTGGCCAAAAGAGCCGAGCTCGGCTCGTTCCCACCGCTAATTGGGGGAGCCATGTCACCCCATAACTCCCCATAACTCTATGTTATCTCCACCACTATCTAAAAGTAATAGTCCATTAGAACCCTATCGGAATAATGTATCGAATGCATTATCCCGTTAGAGTTCCTAACTACGTATTATCCCGTTAGAGTTCCTAACTACGTTTCAGGGGGTGAGTGTAATTATCGATACCATAGGGACCTTAAAATTATTTAAGCATACCACAGGGGTGTGGGTTTAATTTACCCTAAATTTTATGTAAAAATATTTAAAAGAGAGGGTGACTGTAATTATCCAAACAAGAGGGGTTTTTCGTAATTTGACCATACCTCAGGGGGTGGCCGTAATTTGCCGGTTTGCCCTAAAATTAACCTAACCCAAGTGAGATCTAACTATAGTACTTACAGCCAAGGCAGTGGGGCCGGCATGAGAAGTGAGATCTGGTTTGAAAGGGCCACCGGCTCGGAACTCGTCACTAGGCGTTATCACCCAAAACCCGATGCGCTTATCGGAGCTAATCCATCCATGTACACGGTTATCCTTGTTATCGCACGAGTATTGATACTTATCGTCCACCTGTTCATGATACAAAATAAAAATAAAAAATTAATAAAAAAAAAAAAAAAGTATAAGGTTTTATTGCATATGGCACCCATGTATTTGCTTTAATTGTTAAAAACTCCCCATGATTTTATTAACAAACACAATATATGATTCAATTGTTTTTAGCAAACCACCCCCTAAAAACTCACTATTTAATTAGCCGATTGTATGCTAAAAAATGCATTGTAACGGGGTTTTGCTATAAAATTACATGGTTAAATTCAATAAACTCACTATATATAAATTCCGCGATTAATTTTTTTTAATTTATCGATTATTCGTCTACCTCTCCTCTGAGTTTTGGATTGACTGGATTTGTCAACAAAACAGCTTCTCCATAATCAAGAGTTTGGCCGATAATTCTGTCGTTTTCCGTTGGCATTATCCTTTGCTTATCGTCCGATATAGCCATGTAATCGAACCTAATAATTATTCAACATTTTCATCAGCAAATCAAACAATTTTCATCATATAATTAGCATATATGATTAATTAATTTTTAGTTAGTATATTTAATTCTAACATGTCATGGCGAAGCTTGAAGGCGATTCTCGCTTCGTCGACATTTAAATCAGGCCACCCTTTTAAATGCTCGAATATTGCATACGAATAAAAACCGGAAACTCCACTCAGGACTATATATCTGTAAAAAAAAAAATCATTAATACACATAACATTTATTTAAAATGTAATGCTCGATTTTATATATATATATATATATAATCACCTTTTGTCGATATTGAGTGGTACGAAATTATTGCCAAGCGATAAATTCCATGTCTTTGTGAATGAAATTTCAACCTGATCTTCGGTTTCTGCTACAACCCTGAAGCTTGTGCTTTCGAGCCTGCAAATTAGACGAAAAAAAAATTGGGACAAAAAAAAAAAGTAATTAAAAACATGTGTTTTTATATAGAACATATATGTAATAAAAACGTGTGCTATTGATCGAATCGAGAAATTAATTAAAGATTAAGAATTCGAGATCTTACGTGTCGAAGAAAGAACGTGTGCGTATATCTGGCCTACTCCACACAATGTCCCAATATCTGCATGCATTATATTGGAAAATATATTAATGAAAAAGGGGTGTTTAATTAATTATGCTGAACATTTGAAAGACAAAAATGTTTTCTCTATTTAATTTAAATAATTTAAGTAAGTTATCTTTATGCATTAGATTAATTAGAAATACATCATATATTTAATAAATTACATACCCTCTACGTGCTTCTTTAAGACGATTCTCGAGTATGTTGTCGATTCCTTTGTATCGTACGCCTGAGATATAGCCGCTTGGCTTCATCAACGTAAGTTTAACGATTCCGTTGTCTATCTCCACCTGCAAGCAAGAATTACTTTGAATCAAATTAAAGAAAATAAATGAACTATGTATGCTCAAGTTAAGGAAGTTATTATTAAAAAGTGATTACATATATGTGTGCATATTGTGTCTCACTTTAATTTAATTACTTGTAGAAAAATAGTTTTATTACCGTTTTTTTTTTCTTTTTTGTTACACTAAAAATTCGTTACAAAGGGTACTTTTTACCAAGGTTGTAAAAAGCGGTAATCGGGTCCGAGTCGGTCAGGCACCGACTCAAGATTAATCGGTGCGGCGGTGATTAATCTGTGATAAATCGGAAATAAATCGGTTTTTAAAATTTAATATAATATATTTATTAATATTATTTAAAAATACTCAAAACATAGATAAAAAAATATTTAAACATAGTTATATCTCCATCATGTATATATTCTAATAACATAATAAAAGTTTAATAATAATAAGATCATAATACATAAATATCCTTATAAAATATAAATAAAAAGGCATTTTTTTTGAATTTACATACATTCTTGGCATACATCATTAGTTCTTTAACAATAATAATTAACATAAACAAAATAAAGCATAAACTCCTTTTTTTTTTTTATCAAAATCCCAACTTTTATTTTGATGTATAAAAAAAAAAAAAAAAAAAAAAAAGAAAACTGTTTTTTGACCGATTTTTTGCCGATTTTTGCCACCGAAGTTTGATCCGCCCTAAAGGTTTGACCGCCTCGGACCGCCTCAAACCGCCTCACAGGCAAAAAACCGATTTTTCAAACCTTTACACTAAAATCGTAAAGGTTTTGGACCGCCTCCGCCTCGGCGACCGATTAATCGGCCGCCTCGGCCGATTTTTAGAACACTGCTTTTTACTACACGGCAGCCTGGGAGACGCGATCATAGTAAATGATAGAATTTGCTGTAGCAAAAAACTATTTGATACGGTCGTTTACCGTAGCAAAATTTTTGTCACGCTCGTACCGTAGCAAAAACTTTTTTACTACGAATTTTGTACATTTGCTAAGGTTTATGGTCATAGTAAAATTTAAGCATTGTATTTAAATTTTCTTACATGTTTGTCCAGTACATGGAGCTTGACAGGTGATGGTGAATCTTGATTGTAATTGTGTGGAATCCCCCTGCAATAGGAAAGATAAACTATTAATTTTATCAATGTAGTTACATTGTATATATAATGCATTAATCAAAGACAATATCAAAGCCAACATAACAAAAGTATAAGAATATGAGATATTTAATTTATTTATTGAGAACATTGTAATTTGTAGGAGTACTGTCAATGGACTGGTAAAACGACCAAACCGAACCGAATATTTGGTATGTGCTGAATACCAAATCAAAAATTCGGTTCGGTATTCGGTAGAGATTTTTTGGAATTCCGGTATTCAGTACGATGTACGGTATGGATGTGTGGTAGAATGTAGGATATTAACCTAAGTGAACTCTTGCTTGAAAGAGAATATGTGAACAATAATAAGTTTTAATCGTTCATATTATTACAGTTTATGTCGAGAACGTGAACTTAAAGTCAAATAAACAACTTAATTCTTGAAATTTGAGTTCGGGATCAAAGATTTAGAAAAGCCTAATTTAATTTATTGTCTCTATCGACTTGAAATTTATAATGTTGATTAGATTTTGGTTCATTAATTAGTTAAAGGGAAAATTACGGTCATCCCCTGAGTTATGGTCTAATTACGAAAACCCCCTTCTGTTTGGGTAATTACAGGCACCTCTCAACTATGTATTATCTTACGAAAACACCCCTCTATAGGTAAATTTAGGGATGCTAATTCGGTGAAAACCAAACCGAAATTTCGGTAAGTCAATATTTCATATCGTTTACCGAACTAAATATACGATTTGGTTCGGTAAATAACCGAATTACATAAATTTTATGTAAAAATATATAGAAGAAGGAAGTGCTGAAATTACCTAAACAAGAGGGGTTTTTTCGTACTTTAACCATATTTCATGGGTGGCTGTAATTTGCCTTAGTTAAATTACATCAAGAAGATGTATTACTGTTAATGTCAGTAAAATAATTTAACAATTATAATTGTTACTGTCATGTATTATTATTTTCATATTTTATATATTTAAATAATATTAATGAGTGAATTAATAAGTCAAAACTAATATTAGTATATATATTTAAATAATATTAATGAATGAATTAACAAGTCAAAAGTAGCAGGTTGTAATAAAATTCTCGATATCCACCATATAGTAGTAGTAGGATTAGTTATGAAAAAAAAAAAAGTCTTTCTGAAATAAAAGTAAAGGGTTATGTTATGTGTGTGGTTGGACACCTAATTTAATTTCCAATTCTTTTTTTTTCTTCTTACGTTTAAATAATTATCTTGTGTTAGAATTTCAATATTCGGAAAATTACTGTTGAATAAAGCTCGGTTTTCGACCGCATATTAGAATTCTTTCTTTTTCAGCAGAATAAAAATTCATGGTTCGCAAATACTGACTCCGTTTTTCCTTCTTCTTTTTTTCTTTCTTGTGATATACTCCTAAAAATAATTCCGGGATAGTAAATATTTAGTCCACGCTTATATCGAGTGTTGGTTTCACCAGACGTGAATCCATAATTATCATATTTTCGCTATTTAGAGATATAATATTCTCACAAAAAAATAAAAGGTATAAATATATTATATTTACTTTTCTATAATACTGTATTTACTCAATAAATTAATTAAAGATGAAAAAGAAAAACCTGTCTGCATGGATGACTGTGGTACAATGAAGAAGTATAAAGAAAAATAACAACCTTCCACCCTTCTCCATACAAACAACCTGCTGTATATATATATATAAACAATTGATCACATTAAATTAAACCTAAAATAAATATATTTAGAAAAAAAAAACCCGAGCATTTTGCACGTTTCACTTGCATAATTAAGCTAAAAAGTCACAAAACTTATGCACGTATAATTTACGTACATAAACATATCATGTTCGACGTCGACACACCAGAACGAGCTTTACATTCTTCAGTCAATAAATATTTTAAAGAATTAATAACAAGAGAAAAAACGAAGTGCGTACCTTGGGGATCGGGCGACGAAGAACACAAACTATACAGAAAGAGATCTCTAAAATAATAATTATATAAGCTGGTTTTATCGTTGGGGACTTGTGTGTGTATTTGGTTACTTAAACTTGCTCTTGACCAAAGTTGATATGTTGGAGCAGTTTAAATTAATTCTTGTCACAAAATGCAAAATATAAAAACAACAAACAACTTTATTAAGATTGGTTTATAGAATAATAATTATTGGTCAACCTCTGACTTTTGGAATCTATTAGGTTATTTAGGTGTACTAACAGTTTTACTTAGAAGTTTGTTCTAAACGAGTATGTTTTGATGCTTTGATGTGTGCGTTTTACGATTTGTGGAGTCGAAGCGAAAAAATTAAAAATCAATTTTTTAGTAAAACGGGCAATAAATTGCATAAAATGAATAAAGTGCTGAAAATTGTAACCTCTGTCCAACGGTATCGAGTTATCTTAGTTAGTAATTTAATGTCGAAACTTGAATTTAAATATATTTTGATTGAATGGTTTGACTTTAAAATATTAATTTTATATATTTATTGTATTATATTTATAATATTTTATTTTATTTTGTACTGTTTTAAATAATTCGTGAAATATCTTACAATGCCATATGATAAATGATACGATACAATATGAGGAGGAAACGTTCAGATACGATAGCTATGCTAAATTCAAAATATCTAATGGTTGCTACATTAATTCGATTTAAATATGGGCCGGGTCGATAATTTTTCTGAACAAAAACTGGATCAAATTGTGCAATTTTAAAATGTTTACGGGAGTCTGTGGGCTGAACTAAAAGTTTGGTAGTCCTTTGTAATTTGGTGTGATTGATTTTCTCTATGTCCTCTTTACAAAATATTTTATAATGCTACATTAATCCTCCAAACAAATGAATGCATACATACGATATTAGGGACGTAAATTGGATAGATCCGATCGAAATTAGTACTTTTGAAAAAAATAAATTTAAATTAATTCCAAATATTTGCCGTACATCATCTTAAAAGGTCATCGAAACTCTAAGTTTTGAAAATTGATTGAAAAAATTTGAACAAATATTGAAATTTTTCGATCGAACGCAGCGAAAACAAAAAAAGAATGTAATTTAAAAAATTAAAATCTCCTATACATATATGTATATGTTAACATTTCAATGAAACAATTTTTTTTTAAATTGATATTCGATATTCTAATATTGAAGATTTTTCGATCGAAATCGTCAGAATTTTAATTTTTTGTTGTAATTCCAACTCCTATTTCAAATGTTAACAATCATGTTAAATCTCTGACGGGTGGTCTAGCTGTTAGAGCAAGTGAACTTGTATTAATTAATCAAAGTTTAAATCTTTTTGTCAATGGTCGTTAGGTCGAGTTTGTTACACATGGTTAGTCTAGGTGTGGTTCGATTTACGTCTCTCGTATATTTTGCAAACTATTATATGGAAATGTAAGTTTACAGAGTGCACATGGCTGCGGATTCCTTAATTATTTAAAAAAAAAAAAAAAAAAAAAAAAAAAAAAAACAATCATGTTAATCAATTTTCTTTTATACATATCTATCATGTTAATCCTTTAATAAGTGATAACAGATTACTCTAAACCTGATGACAGCTTTTCTTCTTCTCGTTTTTCTTTATAAATTTCTAAAATTGCATAATTGCCACCGTCATAACCATTGTTGTCGTCTTCTCTTCATTTTTAGATTTTGCAATCGAGTAACTTAATTCGTGTAAGAATGGTGTATTCATATCAAACCTAAATCCATAGGTACTTGTATGTATTCGCAATGCCTCATAATCGGTGGATCTTTGAAAATTTTGAAAATTACGTTAATTTATTATCTCTTGTTCCATATTCAGATATAATATAATGGGAATTTTCACACAAAAAAAAAAAAAAAAAAAAAAAAAAAAAAAAAAAAAAACAAACTATCTTTTTCAAATTTTTGCAGCAAAAGGCAAAAAAACCCAAAAAAAAGTTCAACAAAAGGCAACAAATATTTGGAAAAAATGCAACAGGGAAAATCGGATACAAATATGTTTTAAAACCAGGAATTTTGGGTGTTTTGGGTTGGGGAAATTTTTGTTTAGAAATAAATAAAACATGTGGAACGGGGGGATTATTTTGAAAAATTAAAACTAGGATTGGATGTACGTGAAGGAATTAAATTATTTTAGGGACCTCTAAATAATTAACCATTAACATAAGCAAGATTACGGAACGGGACTCCGTAATTCATAAACGTGTACGTAATAGTAGTTCTGAACGGGCCCTCCACGTGAACACCTTCCAACCGATGTTCACCGTCTGAAAACTCGAATTCCCCCGTTACGTGGTGGGACCCATGTGTACGCCTTACACCAGCCGATCATTTGAGCGTGTAACTCACGTTTCCCAATCGTACGTACCTAATGGTATCGTGGTGGATCAGGCTTTGTTACAGCGCGTGGACGTTTGTTGACACACCTCGTGCTGTTCATGTGGGCAATGGACCAATAAAACTGTTATTTTCCGGAATATAGAATTGGTCCTACGTCAGATTCTCACACACTATTTTTAGAGAGCGTGTGAATTATGAAATATGGAGTCATATAAAATAGCATTTTGCACCACAAAAAAGATGTGAATTGGCAATTTGACCCTTCAATTATGAAAATGGAAAAGTCCACCCTCAAATTATATATCGTGATATTTTAATTTGTGAAGGATTTTCTTTTTATTTTTGATGGTTTTTTTTATAGAATTTATTACATTATTATTGTATTATATGATAAAAAAATTAGTTTATTGCAAAACAAGAAGCAATAATTTTCTTGTGCTATCGAAATTGAAATTATATCTACTTGAAAAAAATTGATCATATTTCTAGTTTTAGAAAATGATTAAAAATATTATAATTGTCTAACTACCCTATAAAACTCAAATTTTGTGTTATTAATTTTTTTTTATGCAAACATAAATTTATCAAAATCAACTAGAAAAAAAAAAGAAATTAACTATGAAATCTTTGAAATCAACTAGAAAAAATATCGAAAACAACTGTAAGAGTATGAAATGCAACTACAAAATAATAATAAAAAAAATAGCATAACCCAACCGTTACCAAATCGTGTTCAATTTTTCGTTGGGATTTGAACGAGCTGAACGGTGTACGTCTTGAATTAAGAATGGGTAAATGAGAGGGCTTTAAAATTTATCGTCCTAGTTGGCCTCGCCGGAGTTAATATCCCCGCCACGTTCCACCTTGACACATGCAAATCTCAATCCAAGCAGTAATGTGCGCGGAGGTGGTGGGGGCGAATGCCGGCAGTAGCGAGGTTAAATTAATGCCAAAAATATGTGTGAAGGAAAGGAGGGAAGATGAATAAATTTACAAGGGATGATGTTATATTAAATTTTGCTAAATATTTATTTAAACAAACAATTCGGGGGTCCTAAAAAATCATTTTGGGTAAATTACACACAACTTCTTAGGTAGGCGAAAATAACTTTTAAGGCTCCTGTAGTATTGGTAATTACAATCATGCCCCTGAAACAATTATTGGAGCCAAGATTTCATGTTTTGGGAACCGATATGTACTATATTTATTTTTTCGTGAGGCCATTAATGCTAGCTACCATAAACGAAAATGTATAAATCTTATATAAAATAATAAGAATTCAAAAATATTAGGAGAGTCATGTCACCCCCTAGCTGTATGTTGTCTCCACAGTGCCTACAACTAATAGATCAATAGAACCCGAACAGAATAACTTATCCAATGCATTATTCCCTCAGATTTTTAACAATGTTTCAGGGATGATTGTAATTACAAGGCTTGATCCCATTTTGCACCCTTGAAATGAAGTATTTTGGCACTTTGCACCCTTGAAAAATAATAATAGCAATTTGCACCCTCAAAACACAATAAATATATCACAATGCCCCCTCGTTTGAATAATAAAGGCAATTTTATTTTTATTGGTTGTTTTTATTTTCAGGGTGCAAAATAACAAATTAAATGGTTATTTTTTTCAACCTTCAACCTAATTTCAAGGGAAACCAAGTGGGAAAAAATAAAAATCACACCGGATTATAGAAACAACTATTAATTTCTAACAAAAGAAAGTAAAATAAACTTGTATCACTAAATTATTCGATTGATGGATCTTTTATTGCAAATATTAGGTATAAAATTTTGGAATAAGATATCATTTTTTAAATAACTTGATAACGAAATAGTGGAAGGATTTTTTATTTTTTATTTCATAAAATATATTTTGTGATAAAAAAATATAATTTTTAAATATGTTGATGAGATGTATTTTTAATTTTTTCAACTTATAGTTTCAAAATGATTGATAGATAAAAAAATTGATTTCACACTTGTCCACGTAAAAAAATACCACTTCAAATATTAAATCACCTTTATTAGCATTAAAAATTCATTCGAGGTGCATTATACATAATTAATTAAGTTTCGAGGGTGTAAAGTGTCAAAGTGCTACATTTCAAGGGTGCAAAATGAAATTAAGCCTAATTACATATACTACATGTACCTTAAAGTTATTTTATCATACTTTAGTGGTGCAAATGTTATTTCCCCATTCATTTAATATCGGTACAAATTAAGCGGCATTTAGCAATTTAGAAAGTATAAACTTAATTAATCCAATAAATTTTGTCAATTAACATTTAACATAGGCGCGTACATAAAACTCGCGTGGACGCGCGCGTGTGAAGAAGAAAATCAAGTGGGGGGAAACAGATATGGCCCACAAAAATGAATATGATGCATTGAAATGTACGGTCAGCAGAGGAGGTCCCATGGAGTGGTTTGATGGACTGCACTGCACCTTATCACTGTCGCATCTTTTTAGCATTGCGGTGCTGCCACGCTTCTTTTTCTTTCCTTTTTATGTGCCTGCCGCCCTCTTTCCTTTTATATACAATTTCAACCACCATTTATTTTTTTTATTTTTTAAAAAATATATATGTATTTGTGAAAATTAGTTTTATTTGATTTGACATAATTCACCAATTTTGGTAAAATTGGAATTTTGACAATTTCTTTTATATTCTTTGTCGACTAAAATTATTGAAGTTGTTCTTTGTTGAGGTTTTGCTATTTTAATATAATTAACTATTGAATTAATAAAATATTTTGTTGTTTGAATCCGAATTATTGCATTTTTCAAAAATTGTCTCTTGAATATTGTTGAGTGTATAGTTTACACTCAATGTATACTTTCTTACGAGGATTTTTGTATACTTTTATTGATTTAATGGTGCTTAATGAGTGGTTTATTGTATTTTAGGTACAACTTGACGATTTGGAAGTTCCAAGGACGAAACGAGCCAAAAAAGGTAAAAAAACGGGCAAAAACGGAAGAAAACAAAATATGCTGAAAATTGGCCCGCGCGGTCGTGCCGAATTTAGCCTATTTTTGGCGTGGCCGCGCCAACTGCAGAAGTTGGGCAGAAGGTTTCGGCGATTCTCGCGCGGTTGTGTGAGAATTGCACTGATTCTCGCGCGGCCGTGCCAAAACACGCTGGAGACAATTTTGGACTTTTAATCACACAAGGAAACCTAAATTTTTCTACCAAGTTGGGACATCTATTTAAGCCCAAACCAAGCACGAATTAGAGGACTTTTGACACAACCTTGGAGCGAGAGGAGCGAGAGAACGAAGAATCGAAGACGGAGAATTGACAAATCTTCATCACAATTCTTCTTTTATCTATCTTTTCGTAATCTATGTCTTTTTATATTTTTATTATGTTTTTCGTTATGAGTAGCTAAGTTTTAATCTAGGATTTTGTTGGAACTCTATGTGGGGATGGTGAACCCGTTTTCTTGAGATTATGCAATTATGATTTTATGATTATTTCTTATACTTGTTATGATTGTTAGTGCATGAACTTGATCAATTTATGTGTTTTATCTGTGATTATTGGGATTGACTCGACAGGGCTATTTTGATAATTAGACGGTAAGTATAAGAGCCTTCGAGTAGTTTTCACCGGATGAGTGTGTCAATTGCATGTGGTGTCGTAGATATATAGATATCACCTTAGGTAGCCATTTACGAGACTTGTTAGTTAATGCTTTATTCATAATTTGTTTGCATAGACATATAGTGAACCGTTTATGAATAATAGACTCATAATACGTGACAGCGGGTTATGAGTAAATTAGTGTCTCGGGTTAATAATCATGAATCATATATTTCATACTTGAGGGGTTTTGGGTGAGCAATTCTTGCATAGGGGAAGATAAAATCCTAGGTCCGTCTTTATTGATATTTTCTCGTGTTTAATTGCTTTCATAATTAGTTTAATTATTTAGTTGATTAAATTTGACAACTTTGCGTAAACTGGATAAAAATCATAATTGTTAGAATTTGGTACTTAGGATTAGATAATTTGAGTATTCCCTGTGGGATCGACATCCGACTCTCACGAGTCCACTTTTACTACTTGTTTGCGATACGTGCACTTGCGTGTTAGGTATTAGCCCCAACAAATATTTACTTGCCACAATATGTGTCGTTGTAGTTAACTCTTTTGTTCTGAGTTATATGTTATTTCGAAATTCAACTGATAGTAATTGCATTTTCTTCATTTATTGTTGTCTATCAATTTTTTTTTTTTTGTATTTTTAATGAAAAAATTCGCAACTAACCATATTAATGCACTGATTAAACATACACTATCGTATAATAGTTTGTAAATCATACAAGGGATGTGAAACATATTAGGCTAACCATGTGTGACAAACTCGATCTAGCAACCGTTGACAAAATGATTCTAACTTGAGTCAATGAACACACACTCATTTGCTTCAACTGTTAGATATTCCCTTTTCGGGACTGATTAATAGGATAAAATATAAACTTTCACCTCTAAATGTACATATAATTTATATATGTAGGCTCATACAAAGTATGAATAAATTATATACAAGTGCATGATACTTGATCAAGTTTGTTTTGCAAATCCTACCACACATTTATAAAACTTGAATTTGCTAAGTAAATAAATTGCTTATTAGAAGTTTTTGGAACTTCCTTCTTATTAAGAAAGTTCTATTTTGTGGAACCATGTATTTTAACTGAACAAAAATAACAATTGATACAATGGCGTACAACTGTAAAACAAGTACCAATCCTCATCACTAACATAAAAGAACTTGGGAACTTGTTTCAATTATTGATTATCAATGCACATATTAGATTCCTTTTAAATTTAATTTGATATATCATATATTAATTATGATAAAATTAAAATATATCAAATATTAAATAAAAACAGAGTCTAAATCCCGCACTTGGTGGCTCGAATTCATTATCAATCAAGTCATTGCCCCTAGGTGCAAGGTGCTTACCAACATGCTACCTTATCAAATGCAGCTAACACGAAATCAATTCAAGGTAACAAGAACAATTCTCAATCTAAGTCAACTTCCGCTTGCTCAATTTTTCCCCAACCGTTACCAAATCGTGCTCAATTTTTTTGTTACGATTTGAAAGGGCCGAACAGTGTCTTGAAGAACGGTAAATGATAGTGCTTGAAAATTTATCCTCCTAGTTGGCCTAGTCGGAGTTAACACCCCCGCCACGTTCCACCTTGACAAATTCAAATCTCACTCCGAGCAGCGATGTGCGCATTTTCATTTTTTTCATTATTACCAACATCCCCGAAGCTTTTAAGTATTTACATAACCGGTCCTGAAACGTTTCCGACAGGTGTCATAGCATTTCGGTTTTCAAAACATTTTAAAAACGTACAAGCGCGTGTGTATAGAAGTTTCCGTGCATCATAGTATATAGTTCATATAATATTTTTTTCTTAGCCAGTATCTGATTCCACATTGATTTTGAAAAATAAAATCGAGCATAACACAAGAAATATCGAATGCCAGAATTCGGATTTAGGTAATCTACAGTAAAAATACTAATTTATGATTCGAACATAAACCCGAAAGCCGAAAATCCGAAAAACCGAAAACTTTAATAAATTGGAAACATAACAATTATTGAGCAAGTCCCCTTTTATTTTTATTTTTACGACTCAATAAAGTGGTAAAAGAATATAAAATAAAAGATTAGAAAAATAAGAAAAAAAAAATGAATAAAAAAGGGCATGATTATTAATTATTATGGCTAGAGTTGTCTTCCTTATCTCCTCTCTGTTTCCGTTCTTGAAGCTCGCGCCTTCATCACGAGCCCCCACTTTTCATCACTCTCTCTTCCCATCTTTACTACTATATATATTTATTTTCAAACCCCTCAAATTATTCAATGTTGCAAAAAAACCCCATGACTTTCAAGTTTCAGTTCACCCAGTTGTGTTGATCCATCTTTCTTCAATCAATTCGCCCCCACCCAAAAATCTATAACAGAGAGATTAATTTCTCTTGCCCAGTAAAGAACAAAAGATTCGCTGCAACCCCACTTTTTTTTTTTTTTTTCACAAAATGAAACGAGATCGCGACCGTAGAAAGACAGAGGCGGCGGCGGCGGCGGGGAGTGGCAGCAGCTCCGCCGGGAAGGCGAAGATGTGGGCGGAGCAGCCGCAGCCGGATGCAGGTATGGACGAGCTATTCGCTGTTCTGGGGTACAAGATGAAGTCTACGGATATGGCGGATGTTGCAGAGAAGCTTGAACAATTGGAGATGGCGATGGGCTCCACCATGGAAGACGGAGCTTCGGTTCTGTCGAACGACACCGTTCATTACAACCCGTCCGATCTTTCTGGGTGGGTCGAGAGCATGTTGTCGGAGCTCGGCAGCTCGAGCAACGGATTCGATTTGATTTCCGGTAATCAAATTGGAATCTCCGGCGAATCTAATGGCTACGACGACGACCTCAGGGCGATTCCTGGCGGCGCAATTTTCAGCAACAAACAGAAGGACGACGCCGTTGACCTCCCCGAGAGCGCTAACAAAAGGACGAGATCTGAATTTTCGGACAATGGGTTTCTGCCCGCCGCCGCGGCGGCGGGGGATGCGGCGGCGGCGGCGGCGGCGCTGCCGGTGATGCTGGTGGATTCGCAGGAGGCAGGGGTGAGGCTCGTCCACACCCTGATGGCGTGCGCGGAGGCCGTCCAGCAGGAGAACATGAAGCTCGCCGACGCGCTGGTGAAGCACGTGGGCGTACTCGCGGTGTCTCAGGTGGGGGCCATGAGGAAAGTCGCCACCTACTTCGCGGAGGCGCTGGCGCGGCGGATCTACAAAGTCAGCCCGCCGGAGCCGCTCGACTCGTCCTACTCCGACGTGCTCCAGATGCACTTCTACGAAACCGGGCCCTACTTGAAATTCGCCCACTTCACCGCCAACCAAGCCATACTCGAGGCGTTCGCCGGAGCGGACAGGGTCCACGTCATCGACTTCAGTTTGAAACAGGGGATGCAGTGGCCTGCACTGATGCAGGCCCTGGCCCTGCGGCCTGGCGGGCCCCCGGCCTTCAGGCTGACGGGCGTGGGCCCGCCTCAGCCAGACAACACCGATGCTTTGCAGCAGGTGGGGTGGAAGCTGGCTCAATTGGCGGAGACTATTGGCGTGGAATTTGAGTTTCGAGGTTTTGTCGCTAATTCTCTCGCCGATCTCGATGCGAATATGTTGGGTATTAGGGCCGGCGGAGAGGAGGCGGTGGCGGTGAACTCGGTATTCGAGCTCCACCGCCTCCTGTCCAGGCCGGGTGCCTTGGAAAAAGTTTTGAATTCGATCAGGGCGATGAATCCGAAAATAGTGACGGTTGTCGAGCAGGAGGCGAACCACAACGGTGGGGTTTTCTTGGACCGGTTCAACGAGGCGTTGCACTACTATTCAACCATGTTCGACTCGCTCGAGAGCTGCGGCGGTGTGACTCAGCAGCTGCCGCCTAACGGCGGCCAGGACTTGGTGATGACGGAGGTGTACCTGGGGCGGCAGATATGCAACGTGGTGGCGTGCGACGGGGCGGATAGGGTGGAGCGGCACGAGACGCTGCCGCAGTGGAGGCGGAGGATGGGTTCGGCCGGGTTCGAACCGGCCCACCTGGGGTCGAACGCGCACAAGCAGGCGAGTATGCTGCTGGCGCTTTTTGCGGGAGGGGATGGGTACAGGGTGGAGGAGAATGAAGGGTGCTTGATGCTCGGCTGGCATACCCGGCCGCTCATTGCCACCTCCGCGTGGCGGCTGACGGCGGTGGGGTAGTGTGGGTTTTACTCGGGCGGGCATTTGGTTACTGAGTTGTGGGATGACTCAGCGCGAGTTGAGTGGGTTGGTTGACAACTACATGAGGTGGAATGCTGAGTTGGTATGAGAATGAGAAGAGAAGATTGATGGAGACAGCCCCTAAAATGAGTCAAATCCTGTCTTTTTTACATTTTACTTCTCATAAAGTCAGCTTCTTGTTTTAATTTTTTTTTTTTTGTGTGTGTGTGTGTGTGTGTGTGTGTAATAATTTTGTTAATTGTTTATTATCCTTTCTAAAAAGTTTTTATCATAGTCTATTTGGTTTGAGAAAGAAATTATAAGAGATAAATGACTTTGCGTCTACAACATTTTTTGTTATGTGATATATATATTATTCAAATGAAAACGAGAAACACAATGCTAAATAATTAAATAAATTTTAAACTCTATTTGATGCATATCTTATGGGGAACAATTTAAGACGGCTTGACTTCTAAAATCGGAAAAAATGAAAAATGGGGTTAAATGACCAAAATCTGCTTCGATCGGGTAAAATCGGCAAATTGGTCAAGGAAACTGGTTTTCGACCAAAACATCTCAAATCACCATTGAGTTGATTATTTGTGCTATATTTGACGAATCTTCACGAACTTAGTTGTGGGCGGTCGAAGGATTGTCGGATATGGTCATGGGTAGGGGTGGACATTCGGGTCGGGTCGGGTTATTCGGGTCGGGTTATTCGGGTTTTTTGCAAAAAAAAAATTACCCGAACCCGACCCGAATGCCCACCCCTAGTCATGGGTGGTCGATTGCCTGATTTGGAGAATAATGAATAGAAAAAAATATAAAGTGTAAGCAAAAGAAATATAGTAAAAAATAGGGTGAGATAAATAAAATTATAAAAGTGAAATAACAGGTGGAAGATTAAAAAATATAAATAAACTAAGTATTTTTAAAACATTAAAATTAAGAAAATAATAAAATATTAAAAGAAAATCAAAAACCTAGTTGAACCGGTTCGACCCTATAGAACCTTGACCCAAATGGTCGTCCGCAACCAACCATATATGTGCACTGGATAAACATACACTCTCATATAATAGTTTACAAACCACACGAGAGAGAGGTAAACAACACTATGCTAATTATGTTTGACAAACTCAACCTAGCAACCGTTGTTAAGATGATTCGAACATGGGTTATTTGACACAAATTCACTTGCTCCAACAATTAGACCGTCATTTGCGGAGCTTTATTTTGTTAGAACTATTGAAAGTGGTCTACTGCATATAGATTAAAAGGAAATGAACTTTTGAAATTGGTCAGCCGGTCCGAAACATTGAACTAGAGGTGAGCAAATACACATACAAATAAAAAGAAAAACGGACCTATAACCGAAAAAATTGAGCCGATAAGAACCGACCCGACCTAATGATCTATGTTTTACCTTCAAGGAAAGAACCGCATGTAATGACCTTGATTTATTTAGTTTCCAGAGGATACTTTTCTTGTTGGAATTTTCAGAGTGTTATTATTAATTTGTTAATCCTCAAACAAACGTGTTGAAAAACCAAAATTCACAGCTAATCAAATATCGGTGTTGTGCCGAATCGATTCGAACAAAAAGGCAAAATCAAAACTGAAAATAAATGAATCGATTAGCAGTGAACCGAAAAAAAACCCCGACATGTGTTTGGTTTTTAAAATTTGAAAAAACCGAAACTATGTACACGTTTGTGTTTCGCAAAAATCGAGCCGTACCGATGCGTGCACACCCCTAATTAAGAATATGCTTGTTATTATGCTTAATTATAAGTCACTCCTACAACTATAGCTATATAGATAATTCTCCCTTAAAATATCAAGTATTTGTCCTAATCACTTCCCATCTTCACCAATAATTCATAACACGACTTCTCAACAACACGAATCTCGAACTTCTTGTACCACAAGGCGAAATCACGCGCCCCAAGCTCCCATCCCTTGGTCCGACAAATATTTAATAGATGAATGTAAATCATTGTGACTGAACGACCCATTAAGGTAGCGGACCCGGACCAGGTTCTCACAAGGAACCAACCTTTATTGAAGTTGAAATTCACACAATGCGGCTGCCAGGATTCGATTCTAGAATCTTGTACCAACTTACTACTCCTGGAACCAATTGACTATGCCCATGCGGGGAATCTCGGACTTATTATTCATAGTGATAGCGATTATTCCAAAATTCCCCGATCGAATTAAAGGATAACCCTAATTGAAAATCAACGGATTTTTACTTTAATTCTTCTTCCTGCATTTTTTGTTTTGTTTACTTTCTTGTTTTCTTTCCTATGCACATAGGGGAATCTTAAGCCTGCACATAAAGATAAGATAAGTGTAATTTTCATAATAATTAAAGAGTGTTTAGGGTTTGATTACATTAATTAGGTCAGTTGTCACTATTTCTTACCTAAGTTTATCCAAAATTAACTCCAGAAAAAATTAAAAAAAAATGCTTTGGAGTTGATTAAGATGTCACCGGTCTATTCAAGGTGATTAATTATGATGAAAATAATCAAATTTTTTTGACTCCAAAATTATTCTTTCAAATGTGAAACCATAGCCGGCCTTAATAAACTTATCTCATCCTAATTACTTTAATATGGCTTCATTTCAATTTGCACCATTAGAATGTAGCATTTTTTGCTCGTTGCACCCCAGATTTTTTTTAATATAACTATGTCCCCTCGAAAGATAATAAATCATTCACGTTGCATTTCTATTGAAATTTTAAGGTTAATGAGGATGATTTAATCTTTTAGTAGTGTTTTGAAATGAAAATTTTCATTGGTGTGATCAACTTTAGTTCCAATAGTAGAATTTCATTAAAAAATTATGAAATTATTGAATAGGTATGTCTTCTATATTTCACGTACCGTAAATAGAAACCTTCACTTACTACCAAGTTTAAAAGCTATAAAAAAGAAAAAGAAATTGTGGTTTCTTAATATACTTTATTTTTAAGAGTAATAATATTAGTTTCTATAAAATCGAACGAAAATGAAAAGAAATAGAAATAAAAAAATAATAACTAAATAAGTATGTAAAATAACGGAAGTTGAAAAAAATTATTATTGAAAATAAAGAAGGGGATAGTTAGATTAACTAAATAGTTAGATTATTAGGCACAAGATATAATTTAGTGGGGTAAATGAATGTTTTGATTGTACAACAGAGGTAAGTGAAGGTTTTCCAATAGTGGAAGGGTAAATAAAATTAGCCCTTTATTTTATTGGAATTGGTGTAAGAAGTTTTTTTGTATGAAAATATATATAATTTTAGGTGAATGGATTTGAAATGACTCCAATTTTGGAGTCATTTGAAATCCATCACTATTGCTCCAAAATCAATTAAAAAGGAGGGGTGAGGATTTGAAATCCATCTCCAAATCCCTCAATCCAAACAAGTCCGAGGAATTTATTATTATGGATTTGAAACCCCCCCCCCCCCCCCAAAACCCTCCATCCAAATGGACCCTTATATAATTTTGTGAAAAACTAGTTGAAGGGTGTAAACATTAGGTTTTTAATACGATTTATCAAGATGATAAATACTTTTGTATATGTGTATTTATTGAGGGTATTTTCATATAGGCAATTGTACTTGTTTTTGTGCTGGAAAGTGTCAAGTTAAATTATTTATCTTCACCAACCATCAAATTATTTTCTCAATATAATTACTTGAAAATTAAATTTTGTTATTTAAATTAAATCCACATTTTTTTTATCAAAGACCTACAAAAAAACAATTATTGAGAGAATTTTATTAAAATGTCAATATGGGTGCAATGCGAATGATTTATTACTTTTTGAGAGTTTATTGACGACATTATGGTCGTTTATGTTACTTTTAGTAGTCAATGTCATTATTCACCAACGATTTTAATAATCAGTTCGTTAATCGATTATGCTTTAATTAATTAATATCATAGTCGATTAATATAGCTGACGGAGAAAAAAAGGTTAAGCATGATTATTATTATTATTATTATTATTATTATTATTATTATTATTATTATTATTATTATTATTATTATTATTATTATTATTATTATTATTTTATTTTATTTTATTTTTTTATTTTATTTATTTTATTTTTTTTGCTTTTCTAAAATACTAATTTTCGATCAAGTTTGACCCCTAATTTCATATTAGATAAACATGATTTATAATTCTTATAAAAAAAACCTCTAATACAATATCGATTTTATTTTTTAAAATAAATTAAACAGGGGAAGTGAATTATTGGTGACCAAAAAAAGAAGAAAATAGGAACATATATACATAAAAGAGGTAATGACACCCTGTATATGACACTCCTTTAATCGGATGTTATAAGACAATAAAACTATCTATGGAGACTGTGCCTCAGCAACATACTTAAATTTAATAATTTGTCCAAAAACATTATAAAATTATTGGGTAAATTACAAGGATACCCTTAGATAATGGCTAATTACGAAAAAAATGTACGTGTTTGCATAATTATGAGCACTCTCCTAAAACTAACGCGCCGCTAAAACCCTAATAGAACATAGCAATTGTCTCAAATACCTATGTGTTAAAGTAATTTTCTGAGTTTATTACATTTGGTCCCTCATGCAATATAACACCTTGCACAGAACCCCTTTTGGCATAAAAACGGCTAGGTAACAGTAAATAATTAAAAACAAAAATTACAAACCTTACGATTAGACTCCTAAGGATATTCTGGTCATTACAGAATGGATATTCCATGGAATCTATTTGATTCAGTTATTGTAAACTCTGTGAGGTAATTCATTAGACGGAGAATACCTCAGGGTGGTGCTTGTAATTACGCAAACAAATAATTATCCTAAATTATTTGTCCAAAAAACATTATAAACATAAAACTTGGAAATGGGTATTTGTCCAGTCATTGCTTACAACACACAAACAATAGGATACATATTTGTGTATACGTGCACACTTTTAGCCCACAAAGGGATAAATGTGTGTTGTGGTCACAATATCACATTTTTTTGCTGTCCCTAAACCAAACCCCACATGTTATTCACATGTGAAATTTGACATGTGGGGTACTCTAATAAGATTCTCTTACAATGCATATCAATTCATACTTATATATACAAACTATTTTTTCAATGTTTAATTATTAGTTGTCAATTCATATGTGAATTATGACTAGGGATGAAAATGAGTCGGTTTTGGGTCAGTTTGTTAACATCCGAGACCCTACCAATGAAATATATATATGAGATCGTTAACATAAGTAAATTAGTATGTGTTTATTGTAATTAGTACACCGGTGTTATATCAAATTGCTAGAAAATTACCT